CGGATCTTCAACCCTTAAGTCATGATAGCGATTTGGGACCTTTATATCTAATAACTTTATGGGAATAGTTTGGGGAAGTCCATTTTTCATTCCTGTGTGTGCAAAAGTGCAATGACTGAGTAGCTTGGTGAGAGGCGTGTGCGGCTCCCAATAGATCAGCACTAGTCATATATGCAGACAGAAAGTTAGCATTGTCGGAATTAAGAGGTAGTTCTATTTCGTTTTATGCAGGAGTTTTTTTTTTTTTTACGTTTTCAAAGGTTGCGATTATTCTATGTGAGTGGTTTATTCACATACATACACTTTTTTTTTTTTTTTTTTTAATTGGGCTCCTATAGCTCAAAAACTCGAGAAACCGAGATCAATTTCAGATGCCGCACCTAAAATTGAGGTCAAAAAACAGCCGTCAGAGCTAAATCAACAAAAATCGTGTTCCCGAGTGTAATCGTTTGTTGGTGATGCATCTTAGAAGCAAATGCCACATTTACAGGACTGGCAAGTTGATTCAAATGTATGTGAAATGACAACAAAATTGCATCAGACCCTCTCGAACTGAGCCGTACCCATATCGAATCGAATCGTAATCGCACAGTCAAACCCAATCGAATTGTTTCATTTCAAATTGTCCTTGAATCCTTTCACACTCGACCTATCAAAAACTGGACGGAGTCCTTTTTTTGTGGGCGATGCACATCCGTAGAAGAACCCCATTCCGGCTCATTCCGACACTTTTTGATTTGACAGCTAACAGCGCTACTGCAGAAAGTTTTTATGAATAAATTGAGGAAAAATTCACCTCAGATCCGTTCTACAATATTGTAAAAAAGTCCGAGTGGATGGAGCTCTCACAGTATCTCAATACTTTAGTCCATATGTTTTATATTTCAATCGAGCGGCTATTTTGACCCGGATGAGCCCTCTGATGCGCCGTCATATGACAGCATCCATTTCCACTTGTCAGTTCGCTCCAATGGAGCAGCCTGGCCTCAATCCTGACTTGTGTTGAGCGCAGGGTTAAATCCTTCACGTTTAAAAGCTGGGAAAGCGAAGCATACTTACGAGCCGTTTGTAAACAAAAGAGACTAGAGTGGATAACGAAAACAGGTTGTTGCGGGGGAGGGGGGGGGGCCAGGGGTCATTGTCATATTTGCGCACAGCATGCTAAGAGCTCCGAGCTCTAGTCGGCGAGACAATTCAAAAGCTAAGAAAAAGATGCCGAGCTTACCGGTGGATTGAAGGTAACCCCCGTTGAGTTTTGCAGCTGCACAAACAAAGCCGATCGGATCACAAAGACTCCCGAGTGGGAGGAAGAACAAGAGGGAAAGAGGTATTTTCAACCAAAGCATCCTCAGTGCGTTACCTGCTCTCGCACTTTTCCCGCAGTCAGAGAAAACCAAGATGCGACCGCACCGATGAAGCCGTTGCCGTCACAGCCTTGTCCAAAAACGCAGTATAAACCCAAAACCTGACATTCAAACTGCCGTACACAATCTAAAGCTGGTCATCCACTGTATCATTGGAAACGTCACACCGCCAAACAAGATGGAGCGCTCACAACGTTGCTGTGAAACTCCCAAAAGTCCGTTTTAAGCCTTTGCCGAAAAAACTGTTGAACGATTTCAGCCAATCAGAAGCCATATCCGGAAAAGGTGTAGTCACAAATTCGCAAAGGATCTTTTGAATCATGTGTGCAGGCTGCTTGCCAAGTGTAGCAAAAAGCATAAAATGTGCGTATGGTTCGAAGATGGCGCTAACGTCATCCGGAGGTTACGAGCCAATAAAAACGCCGGTTTTCCCCGTCTACACACAAATGCTGACAACAGTTTTTGGAAAGTCTTCACGCTGGTTTTCGCTGACCTAAGAAAAAAAAAAGGGGATGAAAGGATGAAACCTTTTTAAAAATACTCGCCGCCGTGTGGACTGGGCGTAAAATGTCTGGCCAGCGTGCGTTTTGGGGTTTTGGAATGAAAATGGTTACAAGGAGCCGTAGCTACGCTTTAGCGAGCGTCAGGAGATCCTGGCATGCCGCTACAAGAATCCGAGCCTGGTCACGGTGTGTTGAAGTTCGGGGTGGAAGAGGGAGCGAGGGGGGGGT